TGGCAAGCATCATGGTGTCGCAATTGCGGTTGTGGTGGTGGTTGGTTGGCCGAGCTTCGGGTTGAAGAATAGGAGAGCTACTAGTAGTATAGCGACATAAGAGCCTAGTTCCCAAGACTATACATAGGTGCCCCATTCCGACGAAACAAATTCGCTCAAGCGCTATTAGAGCTGTCCACTTCCAAGGAGAGAACCCGTATTGGTTGGGCGATTAGCGTGGCCGGACAATGCGCCGTATTGCAAATGATGGGCGGCGCATCTAGTTGTGCAGCGTATTGTTGAGGTAGGCTGAATATGCCAAACGGCCAACGAGTACCAAGATCGGTGGTTGACTCGTTAAAACAGAGACTAGAACTATCGTCAGCAATAATAAGAAAGTGAGGGCCATATATTCGGCCTCTTTGGCGGCATTCAACGCACCGGGACCTAGATTCGGAAAAAATGTTCACATCGCGCCCGCCCAGCAACAGGCAGCATCGAGAACTGCCAGCATTGGCATCAACAGCCATAGCGGGAGAAGCACGACGTGTCCCTCAATAGTCCAAGCTTATCGACTTCATCCACATGCCACAGCAATCACATGCGCTCCCACCTTTTGTCCATTTGTACAAACTCGGACAAACAAGACGGACAAAGGGCAGCCTTCTGGCAATACACTCTAGCCATCAGTACGCACGTGTGCCGAGGGCAAAGTTTCAACAATAAGCTCCTTCCAATGGAACACATAGGCCGACTTTCAATACAGAATTGTCTCCTGCAAGTGTGCAAAGCGCGGGAATCTCGTTCCACGGATATCCAATCGGGTTCTCCAAGGGGGAACAAAGGCCGTCACAGTCTCGGGTGTGACCGGCCGATTCTTGCATCATGTTTTTTTCCATGTGCAGGCTAATACTTTTGCTTCTCGTGTTAAAAAAATAGCACAAGAAATCATGCAATAGTGAATATAGAAACGAACTGTTATGAGAGCAGAGTTAGTTAAAGATCCGCCTCATTCCATCACGTGTCCGGTATAAAACGAGCCATCCGGAGAGAAATACTGGTACCGTTATAGGACATGTAGTACTCTGTTGGAAATACTTGATTTCTAGTACCTTCAGCATGATCTTTGCCCTCCCTGCGATTACCTGTTGCGCAAGACCAGGGTGGCGATCAACTCA